GTATTTTTACAGTCTTTATTTTACAGTTAAAATATATGTTTATCAAATAAAGTCTAATGTTACAACTAATCAGGGATCCGTTTAAGGCTCGTTGAAAGATGGGACCATCGATATGCGCTGTCAGCACCGGGGTAGGTGACTGCATCTCCATTTAGTGTTAGTCCACAGTCTTTGCGTCGAGCAAGACAAACAAACGGGAGTGTTGAGTTCATGTTTAACTTAATTTACTTTACTATAAAATCAACCCAGTGTTTGGGTCGGYGCATTAAACTTATGAAAAATAATWCCTATGAAAGTTACATGGAAACGGTGATGAATGAAGGCCCAGGCGAGGTTGTGGGGAGGAAGGAATTTTTGATACAAGGTGAAAAGTTATTCTTTCTTTTACACACAACTCAACAGTGAAGAATGCAATTTGTTTAGGAGTTATTTTATTCCTTCCACAAAGGGCACTGTGGCTCTTTCTTTGGCTTTTGTTGCTAACTCTTTGAAATTATGAATCTTTATGGTTTAATGAGAGAGAAAACAGTTTTTGAAGGGGGTTGTTCCCAGTGTGTAAATTATTCAGAAATCAACTGTTTTTGACATTTTAAGAGGCACCATTTGGTATTAAGTCTTCTTGCTTGATAAAGATCAGCAGATCTGTTTTCAGGTCTATGCAGAGCATTGTCAGTCTGTTTGAGAGTTAGGGTTTTTTGCAGGAAAACAGCCCTTTTGGATCATAAAACAGAGTTTGAGTAGGATTTCAATTCAGGAGTGYTCATTGTTTTTTGTTCACAAAGATTTCAGCTTGGTGAATAAAGTCAGGCTACTGTGAACTATGAGGGAAAGCACTACAGTGCCTCACAGTTTGAGTAGATCCATTGGTTTTGTGCCAAAGGCTTAATCTGAAGGAGGATGTCAGGCAAGGTGTTAGATTAAAAACAGTGCAACTGACTCATTCTTACAGCTCCCCTGTAAATGTGGGGGGAAAAAGTTTTTTCTCAGCACCGGGGATCAAACCCAGGACCTTCTTGCTGTGAGGCGTCAGTGCTAACCACTGATCCATTGTGCTGAACGGATGGATGAACAACTTTACAGAAGTGTGTGTGTGTTTTATACCATGCACGGGCCTCTGTTTACCTCTGAGGCTGCATGTCTTCTGTGTGCTGCTGCCTTTAGGAGGAACTGTGGCCTCAACTGATTGAGAAGATGATGCAGATGGAGTTCTGGATGCAGGGATAGACTTGGCGATGGCAAGGAAAAGCTGAATGTCATTGTAGGAGAGACGGATGTCCAAAGCAGGAAACTGAATCTGTCAGAAAATTACAGAGTTGAACAGACATTTCACTTTTTTCCTCTATGCTTCTGCAGGAGGTGCTTTTTTATTTTAACAGGAGACAAACACCGACAAATGAAACACAGATTTCTTTAACTATGTTAGACCTCTGTCACTAGTTAATGCCTAGTGTCTCACTGCAGGTAACAGTTTGTAACAATCATTGATGCAGAAATCTTTAAGATATATATCTGAACTTAAACCTAAAACAATGGTTTAGATAATAACCTTAATGTCAACAATAAGACAGAAAAACATGCCACCAGTTGAATTCTGTGTGAGGTATACTGACCTCCAACAGCGGTGGGATATCCTCCACATTAAAAGCATCCAGGAGACCAGAACTGCTCTGGTATGTTGGGCTGCCACACATCTCCACTTGTATGTTCACAGGGTCTATAATGGACAGCGCTGTCTCCTGCTCACTGTCCAGCCGACAGGAGAAAACCTGAGAGAGACAACAGAGTTCAGACCTCCTACTACTGTCAATTAAAATATATATATGCAGCAAGCTACAGTGTACCTCACCAGTGAGTGGAAGAAAAAATCAAGTATGAAAGAACAATTATTATATGTCACTGTAGCATTTTGAGTCCTCTCAGTAAAATAATTTTATTTTGACCCAAACTGTCACATACTTTATTTGGTCTCTTGCTGATTTTCTATGTTTGCCAACTTACAAAGACAGGAACAGTCTATAATTTTAAGGATAGGTTCATTTTAACAGTAAGAGATATAATTTTAAAAAAATTCAGAAAATTACATTGTATAAATTATATAAATTTATTTGCATTTTGTAGAGAGAAATAAGTATTTGATCTCCTACCAACCATTAAGAGTTCTGGTTCCTACAGACCAGTTAGACACTCCTAATAAACTCATTACCTGCAGTAAAGTTCAGTCCATTTATCATTAAAGACAGCTGTTTTAAACGGTCACCTGTATAAAGACTCCTGTCCACAGACTCAATAACCAGTCAGACTCTAATCTCTACAGCATGGGCAGGACCAAAGAGCTGTCTAAGGATGTCAGGGACCAGATCATAGACCTGCACAAGGCTGGAATGAGCTACAAACCATCATCAGTAAGATGCTGGGTGAGGAGGAGACAACTGTTGGTGCAATAATAAGACAATGGAAGAAATAAAAAAATGATCTGGGCCTTCATGTAAAATCTGACCTGGTGGGGTATCATGAAGGTGAGATTAGTCTAGAACTACACGGGGGAACTTGTTAATGAGCTCAAGGCAGGATATTTGAATTGATGGAGCCATGTACTGTAAAATCTTGAGTAACAACCTCCTCCTC